CTACATACGCAGTGGCTTCGTATTATTCGTACAAATCGCTTATATGGGGTGAATCATAGTATTGAATCTCAAGCACTTTTGAAACAAGAAGCGTTCTCTTTTTGAATGATGTCATAGCCAGCTTGTTCAGCGAGATCGTCGTTCTATAGAAGACGAATTTCTGGATTTTCGGTAAGCAGTGCAATAGAAATCCGGAAACATAGATAGTTAAAAAGGTCTACTTGAAAGCAACGGCTTGCGTAGCCAAAGGCTAGAAGGTATAAGACAACATGATTTGAAATCGAGTGACCTAAAGAAGGCTAATGCCCGATATGTCGTCAAATAATTAAGATTTAACGAAGTTTTAAGAAGACCTTCGCAGTTCCACGCACTATATCAAGATTAAATTCAACGAAGCTCAGGTAACCATCAATTCTAAAGTAACATTGGAATTATTTAAGGGGATCCACTGGAGGTTCCTACCACACCAGACAACGGCTTGTTTATGACTACACTTCAAGCTTCATATCCTGGTGCAACGGGATTGAAGTATAAAAATCCGAAAACTGGAGCTCTAAGAGCTGTCGCGTACGTTTTTTTTTGTCAATTGCCTCTGCATGAGTTTTTGGTAAAAGTGGCAGTTTCAGGGTTGACGCTAGCGGAACAAAACTTTTACCGCCTTCAGATGGTTGGGATGACAAAGTGTTCATAGTGATCACAGCGAACACGCGCCCTGATCGAGGTTTGATTATGGTTATGCATCATAGTGCCATCGCTGTCGTTCATAAATTTACATGTTTTCAAATCAGGGCAACTTCAAGGGTTTACTTATTACTACATTATCGCATACGTATATTAGATGTTAATATGATTAATATGATAGTTATTTTTTCGCCAAACATTGCTGTAACGGAGCCCTGCCTACTTTTTTGCTGACGAGCATGGAAGCTCTCCTCAAACAGTAGTCATCTTTCTCTGGTCCTGTGTCACTAAAACCACTTGCTCTTTAGAATGACCGTGGGATCGTTCACTGTTGGTGCTTGCCCTGCGTATATGAGTATTGTACCAGATTTCATCACCCAGAAGAGGTAATCGATGTTGAGATGTTAAGACGTGGGAGTCTACCAACTCTTTTATCTAGAACGAAATCCTGCATTTCATTATGGTGAGTTCATACTTTGCGTCAGCGTTCTAGCGTACCACAGCGTTTTGAGCAGCTAGAAAAGTATAGATGTCGGTTTACCGTTTTAGTGCCGCTAACATTAAAACGCTGATGCGCACTTAAAACGCCGAAGCGAAGCATGAACGCACTCAGTGACTCGAAGCACTAGGGCTCTTACCCGGTTTCCAGACTCAGGTATAAATGTAATTGGCACAGGATTGCGGAACTATGACACGCATGTTCTTCATCTCTGTGCTGTTTTTACTTGAAGTCAAGATAGGATGTTTGAAGAAACGGGCAAGACAATCGCAATTTATTACGTCGTCGCTTGCCGCGTATCACGCGGCATTATGCGGCAAATCATCGATACAAAGTTTGTCGACTGAAGCCGAGAAACACATATGAATTCAAGACGGGAGATGTCGGATTTTGCCGTAGCTTCAACACTTCAATGCGAACGGTCCGGCTTTTCAACTCGTCCGTCGGGATCGCTCATACGCCCACCAGCGCGGCATATGTGATCTTCTTGTAGTGTACTCGGATATCTGCAGGTTTCGTCCGCTACCGTTTCCGTACCCAGAGTTCCTAGCCAAATTTTGTAGCCGAAAACTACGCTTCATGATAGTTGCATTTTGTCTAAAGGCGATAATTTCACTTATTACTTGTCCTAATGCTCGACGCGACGGGATGATGAATCTATGTATTTTCTGAAGACAGAGAGCAAGATTGACCGACCTTACTCGAGGTACTGTTTTTATAAGGGACTTCATAAGTAGCAAGCAACTTTCAAATGAGAGTCTTTGTGTGAGCGGCTGTAGCTCTTCCGTTTAATCTGAAAAACATGCGATCTCTTCTTCGTGTCCACTGTGAGGCGGTGCGGTGGATGGCGGTGTCGAGAAAAGCGTCGAAGTAGCGGGATCGTCGGCGCGTTGAGCATAGTGTCGAATCGTTATCTGATGTCGAGAAGGGAAGTTGGTTTTGTTCCTTCATTCTCTTTTTGATCGGCGGCAGCTGTAGATCTTCTATTCGGGGTAACGTCGAAAACGTCCAGAATTTCTCGACTGCTGAAGTATGGTCGCGTAGCTTGAACTGGTTCACATGTCGTCTCCAGTTTCTAGCAAATTTACACAGCGGACGAGATAAGTGACGTTTCCAAGTCGTTGTTTGACGGTACCGGGAGTACAAGTGCTTTTCGTTCCGCGGTACTCTCTCGCGTTGAACGGTAAGCCATCAAAACGCTTGGAGTGCGTCCGGTGTTGGTTCCTCCCTCTTCATTTGGCTAATCCTCTTCAGAACTTATCCACAAAACGTTCTGCCCATTGCTCTGTGGATGAAAAGGCAGGAGCGGACGCTACGTTGAGCCATGAGGAACGACGCGGATATGGTGCTGCAGAAATACGTACTGTGAGGCGATGAAGAGCGTTTCTATTTGCGTCCAGTGGAGCCCTAGAAGCGTAGATCGGCTGACGGTTTCCTTTTTCTTCATGACAATTGGAAAACTGCATCTGAAGTGACTACGAACCTTGATGTCTTGATTGTTGGCTGACTTCAAATAGAGTAACGATGGAACTAACTTGGGACGACCTATCGCAAACCAGTCTTTATAATTGTAAGGTGATATCAGCCCAGTATCGAGGTGCATACGAATTGCTGATCCATTAATCTTCACGGTTCGGTCAATGCGTCTGACAGGATCCACATGGGCAGCAGGAGAAGAACCGTAGCTACTGTGTTTGCACACGTTGGCGTCTCTTCCCTAAATCCGGCTTCTTCTCGTTGAATTTTTAAGAGAATCCTTTCTTATTCCCCTGCTTTAGCAGGTGTGACAAGTTTCTTCATGAAGTTGCAGCCTTTTGCCCAGTAAAGTCCTCCACAGCGGAACCATGGCAAATGCGGTTCTTTATTCTGACTCTTCTTGGTATTCTCCCATTGACCCCAGGTAGTGGTGGCACTGCAGAGAATGTAATGCCTGCAAGTTGGCATCTCTCCAATAACCAGAAGTTGCCGAATCTCCGTGCTGAGTTTTCTGAGAGCGTACATTCCGGGTGTCTCGAGCTTGCGAAGTGCATGGGTGTACATTGGTGTATTCAGATGCAGCAAGACCACAATGCAGACGAGGCATTCTATTCGTTCCGGTGTGATGGTGTTGAATTCGGCCATCTCATGACGTTTATTTACCGATCCCGTAAAGTCGCGGGGACTTTCGCCTTTACACTGGGTCTTCAGAAAGACGTAACGAGGGCGAAAACGGAATTATTGTTTTCGAAAGTTACTGCAATCCTTCGCAGTTTCTGCGAGAGATATTTCAGCAGCTTTCTTCGGCGGAATATGGTTCGTGAAG